ATTTCCCCGCTCTTCCTCCTCCCTCCTGTGCTTTCTTTCTCCACGACCATAATCATCCCTTCTGTTCTGTTTTCTTTCTTCATGATCATCATCATCCATTCTGCGCTGCTTTCTTTCTTCATGATCATCATCATCCCTTCTGCGCTGCTTTCTTTCTTTGTCACCATCATCATCCCTTCTGTGCTTCCTTTCACCACGACCATCTTCATCCTTTGAGTGATTTTTTTCCTTATGATCATCCTCCCTTAAGTTCTTTTGTTCTACATGCCCATCCTCATCCCTTGAGCGCTTTCTTCCTATATAGTCATCTCCATGTCCATCCTCATCTCTTTTGTGTTTCCCTTCTTTAGAATCATCTTCATCCCTTGAATGCTTTCTTTCTCCAAGATCATCCCCACCCCTAGAGTACTTTCTTCCTGTAAGATCATATTCATCCCTTCCACGCTTTCTTTCTCCACGGTCATCCTTATCCCTTCTATGCTCATGCTCCCTATGATTATCATCTCTTTTGTGCCTCCTTGCTTCATGATCCTCAGCATAGCGAGCAGTTCGACCAACAAAATGTGATTCAACATCCTTATTATAATTTCTACCTCTCTTCTCAGAGGCATCATCATCACGCCCTGCATGCCTAGCTGATTTAGAATAACCATCTCTTTCTTGATCATCATTTCGGTACATTCTAGATTTAGATTCAGACTCAATTTTCCTATCATCTCCATCATGCTTGGCCAATGTGAAAGGCTCCCTGTCTCTGTCTCCGTCAATTTTCCTGTTACCTTGTGTCATTTCTCGGCTTCTCCTATTTGATCCCTCAGTAAAATCTCTGCCATATGACTTTTTTAGTGAGTCCAATGCATCAACATTAGCACCATTCCCTTTTTCAGCACCACTACCTCTGGCTTCATCTCTGAATTTATTTTCTTCCATGCCATATCCTTTACCTTTCTTTGATACAGCATCCCCCCCTTTTCTCGTTTTTTCATATCTGTGATCACTAGAATCGCTGTATGAATCACTGTCACTGCTACTCTTGTCAGAAGAAGAGTATGACCCCCTTCTAACAAATCTGTCCTTTCCCAAAACACGCCTACCACCACCTTTACCAGAGTCCTCATCATCAGAATTACGCTTCATTGCCTTCTCCTTCTCAAGTCTACTATATTTCTTTTCTTCATTATCATCAGATTCCTCCTCAGAATCACGACGTTTGCTCAGTTTTGAATGTCGCTTCCCTTCTCGTGTCTTATTCTTGGAGTAGTCTTTATGATAATCAGAATCATCATCTGAAGCATGCCTCTTACGAGACTTTTCTGTCTTGTTATGACTTTTTCTTACAATATTGCTGTCATCAGAATCATAAGTAGAATCAGTATCATCACTATCCTCCACCCTACCTTTCTTGTGATGCTTAGTTATCTTCCGTTTCTTTTCAGCCTTGAACTTCCTATTAACATCACTATCAGAATCAGATTCATCACTACTACTTGAATACTCTTTACTGTGTTTTCTTCTACCTCCCCCCTTCTTATCATACAAACTGCTGTCTGAATCAGATGAATCAGATGAATCAAATTCATACTTTTTCTGCCGAGTTTCAACCTTCTTGTGGTGCCTTGTATCTTTAACACCCTTCTTCTTAGCATTTTCATCCTTTTGATCTTCAACCACTTGTTTCTTCCGACTGAAATCTCTGTCCAAAAAGGCATGTTCAGGCTTTGAATTGTGTTTCCCCTCTGCATTAGAATCATTTTTCCCATCATTTCCAAGCCCATCATTCCCATCTGCATTTATTTCATTGACTTCAGATGATACTATGCCAAGAGCAGCTTTCATTGCTTCCATCTGCTTTTCCTTTCTAGCAGCAATTTGATGAGTCTGTGTGTCCGAAACCCTGAAAAATTCCCAAGAGAGCTATTATTATTGATTTCTAGGCATCAACTTTAGACACATTATTCACAGTTCACACAAAAATGTGACATATATAAGTCTCCATTACCATGCAGACACAGGGCAATTAGCATCACATTAATCTGCATCTAACAGCATCCATGCATCCAAAACATCCATCAACAACAAGCAACCTCTAAAATAATTTAAACAATCTTACATCCCATGTATTCATCAAGCATGTATTCATCATGCCATTAACAAACCACCAAAAACAAGTAAACCTCATTATAGTCCTTTTTATATTTGAATACATCAATCATTTTAGTTCCAAGACAATTTGTTGCATGAAGTGAATATATTAATCAAGTGTTATTCAATAACTGGATTTTTCTTAAAGTAATTCTCTTGTAGTTATCATATAGTGCCAGTATGTAAGTTTTTAAATTGATGTTCACAGATCTAACTGCATGTGTTTGTGTTCATGTGAGAGACAGAATCAATGAATATACACACAGTAGTATATTTGATATATTGTTGGATACTTTGCTATATTATTCATAGTTTGAGGATTCAGAAGTTGTGAAAGAACAAACCAACCACTTTTCAGGTATCTATATGTGTATAATCATACCTTGTTTATGGGATATAAATTCTTCCTTGTAAAATTGAACTATAAATTTTTTTATTTTCTATCAGAAGCCTTGTGCAAAGAAACTGATCATTATTCCCTAGTATAGAGAGAAAGATGTTTGCTTCTCCTTAGTGCAAAGGCCATACTATCTTTTTTATATTCCCACCCGGTGATGTTGAAATTTGAAAATACTGGAAAGGACTTAAGATGAGAGCTAAGAGAGAAAATTGTGAAAATACTGATCAACTACATAAATCCCATCTGAAAGAACTGGAAGGGACTTAAGATGGGTGCTAACAGAGAAAATTGTGAAAATGTGATGGGATTCATGTAGTTGATCAGATGCAAAACCATTTAGTTGGCCTCTTAAAGAAAAGAACAAAATGTCTTTTAGACTCTTTGTTGACTAATAAAGGCTTAAAATGGAAGTTTCCCCAGATATCTGGAGAAATTTGCTCAAGAGCCTTTGAAATTATTATCTTTCTAATAGCTAGTCTTTCGACACAGTTTTCTGCTGAAATCAATATTATCGGCAATACATATTTAATGTGATATTTTTTGTTCTTTAAGTATTTTTAAGAATAGTCAGGGTAAAGTTGGTTAGTAATTTCTATGGATTTGCAGCATTCATGATAAACCACATGACATGGGGTGGAGCTGGTTCTGTATCATTTTTAGAAGTTGATGTTAAGTTAAATCTCACACTTGAGGTGCATCTTATCCTTAAAATATATCAATATTACATATACTACTGTTACATCCGTATTTGTTTCTCTTTCTCTTGTACTTCATGATGATTGAATCTGTTCTCTAGGACCATGAAAGCATGAACTGCCTTACTTGAATCAATCTCGTATAAATTATATGGTAGCCTCATTGGAAAGAAAGTCCATGGATTCGGTTGAATTTTATTTTTGTGAAAGTGAAATTTCTGGTTTGTTTCTTTTCAAGAAAAGTGATGAGTTAACCGACCTATTACTCCTTAATTCTTACTAATTCATTTCCTGTATCTGCAAATGCTAAAAGGTCAATGTTTTGAATCAAAATTTGTAGCTATTATATTACTATTGTAACTGTATTTCAGTTTGATATTACTGGTTTTTGCATTTGCCTCTCATCTATAGAAGAATGATCTCTGTTTGCAGATTTACACATCCATTTACCATGATGCGTACTTCAGCTGTTGAGGGTCCTGGAAATATGTGAGTTATTTGGTAAATAGTATCAATTTTATCCTTTTAGGTTATGTGCTCTGCATGGTCAAGTTCTCTGATGATATATTTTTACATAAAGTATTGAATGTATATTCTCAATTTAAAATTACCAATTATTGCTGACTATAAATGTGTCTAATTTTTTTAAATAATCTTTCACTAAAGTCTCTGTACTTCATTGGAAAGAGGAAGATATACAAAAGTCACTTCTTGAAAATAGAAAGATTCTAGAACACTGGAAGATAAAGTTAATATGAGGAGTAGAATACTAACATATTGTAGTTCACTGGTTATCAATTCTATCAAGTTTTATTGGGGACTAAATTTAGGGAGAAATCTTCAGCCACTATTTTTCTGATTGATGGGTTAGTGTCTGCTCCTTCTCCTTACTGATGTAGCCTTTGTGAAACATTAGAGGTTTATCATCAAGTAAATCTTTCACCTAAACAGTGCTTTTTCAGATCTGTCAAGTTGAATAAGCTTCCTAATTCAATATTGATATTACCAATTATGACATTAGATATTATATTAGTAAGTATTGATATGAATTTCCTAGTGATTTTTCAGGATGTGCACCAAAGTTCCACTTAGCTATGGATTCTGTTTTAACATAAATGATAAGAACTCAAAGTTTATGCAAGGTGATTGGAGGCATATTCAGCAATTAACTTACGTATGTGGTGTACTATCTGGGCTATATACCTTAAGTCCTCTGGGAAAAACTTTTATAATTGGATTTTGAATGAGAAATTAAAGGTTGGGGTTTAGAAGACAAAAGAACATGAAACTCTCCAGGGAATTTGGTGAATTTTAATTTCCTTTCAACGTTCTATATACTTTATTTATGCTTTTGTTTTAAATGATTTTTTCTTTAATAGAGTTAATTAGGGGCCTATTTAGACTTGTGACCCTCCTATTTAGCTTGTTTCAAGAATTTTCACTGTTAAACTTATGAATAAGTTTCATTTGATTAGAACTTGTTGAATAAATATAAACATGCCTTTAAGTATGAAAAATAAGCCGATTTTTTTTTTCCTTTTTTTTCTTTTTTTGTGTGTTGAAAATATGCATTAAAAGCTATAACTTGTATTGGATAATTTAATCTTTTGGAGTTTGTTAATTATGCTTCTAACTTTAAGGATGTTGTTGAGGTGAAGATAAGGATCGTGTTCCTATCAACTAAACTTAATGATGTTATCAGTTTGTTTTTAAGATAAGGATGTTGTTAACTATTTGAATTTTGTGTAACTCTTTAATTTATAGTCCGTCAATAAAAGTTTTAGTGATCCTCCACATAACACTTTTTCTTTGTTATCAGATAAATCTTTCTGCTCTTAGAAAAGCTAACAGTGAAGTTAAGGACAAACTATGATGATAGACACAAACAATACATAAGGAATGCAAACACATGCAAACATTAATTGAAACAATTTTTCAAAATCCTAACATAAGCATCAGAATTCAAAATTAATGAGCGACCCTCTTTGGGCAACACAAACATACTTCTTATCTGTTGCAGATACAGAAGCAGATCCGTCATTTTCCTCAGTGGCAGCAGCCTCCAAATTCTGGCGAGCCTCCTCAAGTTTCTCGGCAATCTCAGCATCAGTGTAGCCCTGATCAATGAGCTTGTCTTCCAGAATGACAAGCTTGAGCTGAATCTGACGCTTGCGATCATGCTCGAGGATCTCTTTGTTGGGCTTCCTGGTAACACCAGCAGTGCCCTGATCTGCCTCAAACCCCTTCGTGTTCTCAGCAACCTTTGAAATCTTCGGCTTCACAAAGAACTTGTTGCTCTGAATGTACCCATTCGTACCCGACCCCCTTGGGGTCTGTAATCCTATTCCGTTGTACATATCAACCCACTGAAATTAAAACTGGAAAAAATAGAGAAGGAACAAAAAGATTAGAAACACTAAGTTCAAAGTTAGTTTAGAGATCCCGAGAGTTATCACAGCTAGAAAAATATATCTGATGTATTCAACAAGTTGAACACAGCAAAAAAATTGTGTCTATTGTGATAAAAAAAAAATGACCAAAGGTTCGTTGCTGTATGCTAACACATAACAAGTGAAGTATCAAGAAGAACATAATAACAGAAGTAGAAACACAAAGAGGCACAAACCTTTATAACTTTAAAGAAAAAAAAAAACCGAAAAATCAGCATAATTTGAAATCTCTTGCAAGGAAAAAAAAACATATTTTACCCAGAATTCACAACAATTTGCATTAAAAACAATAATAATTAGGCGAAGCCTTTTCAAGTTGCATGGAAGAAAAACCCAAAGCCAATATTAAGTGCATAAATGGCCAACACCTTCGGACACCAAACTTTTCAGACGAATCAGATGCAGCACTCAAAACAACCAAGCGATCGATACTTAATAGAAGAAGCGTGTATATAATGGAAGCATCGAGAATGGGAAAGGTAGCCATTGGATGAAAGCAGAGAAGAGAGAATTAGCGATTATACCTCCAAACACGCCAGAGAGAGGTCTGTGATTGAAGACAGAGAGATCTAGGACGCGAGTTAGGGTTTGTGATTGTAACGATGTTCCTCGAAACGAAAAGCGCCTTCCAAATTCAGAATTTGGTTTTACTCGCAGCGACTTTGATTATTGGGTGAAAACAAGACTATAAATAGATAAAATAAAATAAAATAAGTCGGAAAACATTTTTTTTATTTGTGGGCTGAATCTATTTGAAACGCTAAGAAAGCAAGACTATTCTTAAGACACTTTATGTTTTTATTAAAGATAAAATAAAAATTAAATAATAAAAATATATTGATTTAATTAATATTATAATTAGTTTATTAATTTTAAGTATTTGAATTTGATTAAAATATATTTTTTTAATTTTTTTAAATAAAAGGATATAATAGTTAATAAATATGAAGATTAAGATGATTACTAAAAAAAAGTATTTCATTTATATATTATTATAGATTTTTTTTATATATTAGTATAAATTTTTTTCTCTTCTCACTTTTACTTCTTTGAAAATTATTTTTATATTCTAAAAATTACTTTTCAACATATAAAAAAGGGAAATCCAAAGAGAATACACATAAAATTATAAATATATAATATTATTTTTGTTGAATTGTACTTTTAATCTTCTTATTTTTTGGTAATCCATAATTTTGGTCCCACTATTTTATAATAGAGATCTTTAGTTCATCTAATATAATATATATATATATATATATATATATATGAAATATGTAAATAAGATTTATTAACAAAATAAATACTTAGGTACAAACAAGAAATTTTGTATGTTATTTTTTTTTTATTTTTATCCTTATATCACGTCTATTAAGTGATGATAAATTAGTAGATAATATCAAAATTTAACGATAGACGAACACTAAATTGAATGTAGGACCAAAATTATGTATTTTTAAAAATAAGGAGAATAAATATATCTATTTTAAAATAAAGAGGCCAAAATTACTTGATAAAGATAATGAGACTAAAAGTTCAATTTAGTCTATTATTTTGTATACTATATATATATATATATATATATATATATATATATATATAAATTTATTATTAAAAAAGTACGTTGATAACTATAACATATTATATACAAGATTTATATATAATATTTAGTAATTTATATAGAGAGTAAATTACTTTTGATCTCTCCATATAAAAACTTGTTAAACTAATCACAGTTATAGTGCAAGTGAAATTAACCCCTTGTAGAAAATAGCACACGCCCAGTGATCATGGTCATAAATCCTACACTTGTTGACAAGCGTTTGATAGTAATAGATCTCTTAATAGTTTATTGTCATCTTCACCTTAGGACGAAATTCGTTCACGAATTTAATATACTTAGCATTTTCACCACTCTCATCATAGTAGCGAGAGCAATAACGAATAAGCTCATCAAACTTAGCAGCATATTATGCAACCGTACCATCCTTTTGCTTCAGGTCAAGGAATTCTACCTCCTTTTGACTTCTCACGTCATTAGGAAAATACTTCTCAAAAAACATCTTTGGAATTTATCCTAATTAATCATCATTGCTTCAACCATCATCCTTTGTAAAGCTCCTTCCCACGAAAAGTAAGTGCCAGATGTCAACATGAAAGTAGTCAGATTTACCTTCTGAGCAATAGGACACTCCATAGCCTTAAAGATTTTTTTAATATTAGTCAACCAAATCATCACGCCTTCTAGGTCATATCCTCCCTTGAAAGAGGGCGGGTGGTAACGCTAAAATTGCTCCAACCAACTAAGAGCAATTCCAACCCCGTTAGTCTTTGTAGCTCTTATTAATGCTTGAAGAGCAATACCAATAGCATGGTTATTCCTATCAACCATAATTTTGATACATAACAACAAAATTAATAATTAATTATCACATCAAACACAACAAATACATAATTAGAGAAAGAAAACGCAAATAAACACACAATACACACGTCCGTTTTTAATCAATCTAGCTTTGATACTACTATATATGATACACTCTACCCCATATTTCATAACATATGAATAATAGAAAAATGAAATAACCTCAATCTAATAAATGAACTCAAAAGTCATACAAGTAGAGAGGATCACATTTTGACATAAACTAGACTTGCGAAAATAAAAAATTACAAAGGAAATAAAATCAACTACTCAATTTAAATAAACCAAATCCTAACTAGTCTTAACTAATCATTGGGGTCATGTATCCTATCAGAGCAAAATCTAACATTGAGGTCTAGGCCTCATCACCAACATCCCCAGCACCGTGTTGATGATCACCTACAAAAATCACAAGGGAACAATAAAAAAGGAAAAGGAGTGAGAAATATCTCACTCTATCTCATGGTGCAAGAATGTAAATCGACTAGTCAAACACAAATAACACATATAACAAGGTATAACATACGCAATTACGCATCATCCTATTTAACTCATTCATAGCATAATAAGAAACAATAAATAAGATTATAATGCAAATGTAATGGACACGGACTACATGTTATCATGTATGTAGTGCTAGTAAAAATATCACATTTGTGCATTATCACTAACAATATACTAAGGTAGTCTACGAATACATGTTGGGTCATATACTCTACGCACTCTCACTAGAAGATGATAGAAAGAGTAGGAGAAGTGAAGATTGAAAAGGGGACTGGAGACACTACGACTTACGAATTAGAAAGCAAGATGCGAGGAGCCTACCCATTTCTGTTATCAGGTAAATTTCGGGGAAAAAATTTCAAAAAGGAGGAGAGAATTATAACACCCCGATTTTCATAAATTATATGATGGCTCAAAGCCCAATAAGGGTAAATTAGTAGCCCAAAACGGGCCATTCCCAAACTGGAACGGACTGTTCCAAATTACTTAAATAAGGGTTACCTAGTAGCCCAGAATGGGTCGTTCCCAGACTGAAACGACCATTCCAAACTACTAAAATGTCCTATAACCCTAGTTGGGAACGGGTCGTTCTGGTTTAAGAACGAGTCGTTCCAAATATGGTCTTTATGAGTTAAACTCAACTCCAGAACGAGCCGTTCTTGTTTAAGAACGGACCGTTCTAGATGCGAATTTAACACATGATGAAAGGATCCAGAACGGGCCGTTCCGGATCTGAAACGGACCGTTTTGACCACTTTTGACATCTATAAATAGCAGACTCTAACACTACTCCTAGACACACTCTCTGAAGACCAAGGAGAACCAAGAGAAGGATATCAACTGGATTTTTCTCTAGCTTCATCTCCTGCTTATCGAGGTAAAAGGGGAGTGAGAAACCTCGCTCTGGGTGTTGGAATGTATGTTAGGTAGTGGGATTAACCCCTAATCCTATGTTTTTTGTATGCTCATGTATGAGGGGTTTTTCCCAATTATATCTATTTTATCTATTACTTTTCTTATATGTAAATAATTATATGATTTGAGATCTCAATGGGTTTCTATGGGAAACCCTAAGGGAATGCATTAGTGATTGTAAAAGGAGATTGTTGGAAGAGGCAATTATATGAGTAAATTGTATTATTTTAAATGTTTATTGGAATATGATGAGATATGATGAGATAATGTGAAAAGTGAATATGAGACATGAGATATGAGGATATGTGATAACGAGACATGATAATGTGATATGAGAATGCACAGAGTCTTAATTTACATGCATCATTTACATAAATGTTTTTAAGGGTACGATATATATGGAATACACCGCCAGGGAAAGCCCTCTTGTGTAAAAGCTTGGGGATTAGTCCTTGGGGATAGTTTGGTTTGTAAGTCCTACACTACAAAAAAATGTGTGATTTGTGGCGATTACTTTGGCAGTTTCTGGTGATTAAAAATCGCCACAAAGCGCATTACAAGCGTCATTAATAACTGTCGGATCTACGGTCGCCAAAAATCGTTTGCGGCGGATATTTTGTAAACGCTAGTTTTGAGCGCCAGAAAATTCAATCTCTTGGTGGTGTTTGAAACCGCCACAAAATGCATTTTTATTTTGACTTGTTTGTCATTTTCTGGCTGTTTGAAACCATCACAAAATTCTTTAATTCTGCCCAATTCAAAGTTTCTGACGATTTTAAAACCGCCACAAAATTATTATTTTTACTTGTTTACATTTTCTGGCAGTTTTAGATTTGCCAAAAAAATATATTTTTTATTATCTCACATTTTCTAACAATTTTAAACTATCAAAAATACACTTTATTTTACGATAATTTTTTATTTTTAAAATATATTTGGAATTATTTTAAAAGTGCATTTTTATTATAAATTGAAAAATAATATTCTATATATTTTAGGCATTTATCAAATTATTATTAAAAATTATCACCAACCATATTAATCATTAAAAATTAATAATGACTATATTATATTATTATTTAATTCAAGTAACTTATAAATAAAAATTTTACTTGTCGAATTCTAGGATCATTTATTTTAGTAAATTCTACCTATAATTATAATAATATTTATGTGTTTTGTATATTTCTTGTTCAAATATAATTACATAATGATACATTAAATTAACAACTTTTAAGATTATAAAAAAATCAAGACAACATCTAGCCATAGGTCTAGCATGACATTTTTTATTATTAAGACATTAACATCCATCAGTTCTAAAACATATTCAACATATTAAGTAACTCAAAATCAAATTCATGATCAATGCTCAAAAGCAAAATATGTAAATTGTCCCAAAATTAATCTTGCTTCAAATATAAAAACATAGGTTCAAATTCACGAGTTCATCATGTCTAACAAAAAAAAAACAATAATAATGTCAAACTCCATAAACATTACTATCTAATAACGATCCTCCTTGTGGTGTTGGCATGTCATGTCCACTCCCTTCATCCTATAAAATACAAATTGTTTAATGTTATCCTTATTAATAAATTATGCATAAAATATTAAACTTCAATTAAGTATTAATATAATTTAATTTAGTGCAAAAACATATAAAACACTTACCGCTACATTACTACTACCACTACCAAACATAGCCTCTAACTCAGTAAGAATATGTCCTTCCTTCATTTGTATGTAAGCAAGCATGACATTTTTTAATGTCTTGACATTTTCTTGAGAAGTTGCCAATTGACCCTTCAAACTAATTACTTCCTTTTTTAGTGGAA